TACGCTGTAAAAAAACTCTGGGTTCCACACAATTGATTAATGTTGGGACAACATGAAGAAATCAAGTTAACTTTTGTTCGATCCACCTAAATCTGTCAAGAGTTCAAGAATTCTCAAAAACTCAAGAATTGTGTTGTTTTGGCTTATTTTAAATAAGTTGTTTGAACAAACAGCCAGCATTTTTTTTTTTTTTTTTTGAGTGTAGGTGTTTTAGTGACATTCACTTTTCCCCAAAAAACTTGCCTGCTTATTCACTTCTCTTGTATTGCTTCCCTTTCAGTCGAAAGTATAAGGAAAGTCTGGGACTCCCGCAGAAACTTGTGATTGGATATCAAGCCCATGCAGACACCGCAACTAAGAGCAACTCCATAACCAAAAACAAGTTTGTTGTTTAAAAGTGGGCTTTAGTTGGATTGATGGAGAAGCGTCGATTGTTGTATTGGTCAAAGAGTCATCATCTTGTATTGATTTTTTTTTGTTGTTGCATTCACCTCTGGCTGTAACTTAATTCAACTTGAAAATATGCAAGACTTTGTGAACGTCGGACCTCTTTGAGTTGTGAATTTTGTGGTATTTGTGTCAAAGATGCCAAGACCTTTTTTCTTCAAATTAAAACATGATCTACTTTAGCACGTGCTTCTATGGCTGCATGCGATTGTGGAGAGAAAATATTTCAGTTTCTAGAAAATGTAGCTGTAATGTACATTAGTGGCTAAATGAATGTTCAGCGCAGCCTAGGAAAATGTATACCCTTGCTATTTATTCAGACAACCGTTGTTATATTGACATGGGTTTTCAAAGCATACTAGGGTTGTCGCAATACTGGAATTCGATACCAACTGTTACAGAAATTTTAAAAACGTCCAACAAACTAACATTTGATCACTGATTTGCCATTGTGTTCCTGTACTCAACAAAAATCACTGTGATTGGCCGTGAAGGTCATCAGTTCACCGAAATGACCGCTGTTTACTGAGTGTAAACACAGATACAGGGACATTGAAACCTTTTAAAGTCATGAAGATGAGTTGATTCATCAGCGGATCACTCTTATGTCAGCTTTTAGACAAACCAGATGATCAACGTGACTTTGAAATGCTCCAGTGTCCCTGTATCGGTGTTCACACCATAAACAGCGGTGAGTTCGGTGAATTGATGACCTTCACCGCCAACCTCAGTCATTTCTGTTGAGCATGTGAACACAATAGCAAATCAAGCGGTGTTTGAGCGAGTTCAACAGCGCTCAAATGTTAGCAGGAAATGGATGTCTTTTAAAATTTCAGTATTAATTGGTACCGAATTCCAGTATCAAGACATATTGCATGCTTTATTATAATATAGGAAGCGTGCTTATTTAGGCATGCACAAAAGAATGGCTGGTAATCATATATAAGGGAGAAACAGTGAAATGATAATTATTATATTAACCACTTGTATTTAGGTCCCTGTGCACTTTATTTTTGTGAATATATTCTTTTTTTGTGCGTTTCTTTGCATAGCACAATTAAAAAAAGCTGTTTTTTTGGCACAAAGAACCAATGGGCTTAATATGGAGGTAATTCAAGCAAATATGCTAATAGGCCCACTGAGCATCACTTTTGAGCACATGTAAAAGTCAGTTAGTTTATTATTTAAAGCACAATTGGTGAAGTTTGCCTATCAGTAACAATCTAGGCTAATTGGCATGTTTATGGTATTCATTTTTCCACATAATATAAAGCGGGGGTCACCAACCCTGTTCCTGGCGAGCTACCTTCCTGCAGATTTCAGTTGCAACCCTGACCAAACACGCCTGCTTGTAATTATTAAGTGCTACTTTAGGTACTATTAATTGGTTCAGGTGTGTTTGATCAGGGTTGGGACTGTATTCTGCAGGAAGGTAGCTCTCCAGGAACAGGGATGGTGACCCCTGATATAAAGTATATGCAGGATCTGGTTTAGTATTGCACACGACATTATAGGTCATTCTGCCAGAAGTCCTGCCTGAAATACGGCTAGGCAACTAATAAAATGGTATTGACCATGATAGATAGATAGATAGATAGATAGATAGATAGATAGAGGGATAGATAGATAGATAGACAGACAGACAGACAGACACACAGATAGATAGATAGATAGATAGATAGATAGATAGATAGATAGATAGATAGATAGATAGATAGACAGACGGACGGACGGACGGACGGACGGACGGACGGACAGACAGATAGATAGATAGAAAGATAGTGACTTGGAAGTTGTGGAGATTTACATGCTCATTGTCATTTATCTAATTGTATTTAAAACAGGACTTCAGGTAAAATGACCAGTTGTCAGACAATGACTCTTGTCTCGTGTATTAATTTTATATTCTGCGTCTCCATCATATTTACAAAAGTGAATACTATAAACATGTCAATTAGCCTAGATTTGTACAGACAGACATAATTCACCAATTAAGCTCATTCATCCCATTAGTGAAAAGATGCATTTCAGTTCTTATCAACTCATGTTTTAGATTATTTTTGAATGCAAGCGAATTGTAATAACTCTTGAAAGTCAAGTTGAAATGTTTATGAATGCAGAAAACTTAAAAGAAAATCAGCTATTTTTGTTTAAAAGGCATCTAATAGATCAATTGTTATTAAAAAAAATCTAATAGATGTCTAAAAATAGTCCTAAAATACACAAGTACGCACTAGACTTCACATGTGCAGTCCTGTCTGTTTGATGACTATTGTATTTACCTCTAAAATTATTTACTGGCTGCCCAAATTTACCCTTGTTTTTGCGTAGACGCCCATTCAATCATTATACTTTGGCTGAATAGAAGTCTATGGGGAGAAAAGTGCAGTGTGACCTGACCACAGCTTTACATAGCGGATGCCCTTCCAATCGCAACCCAGTGCTGGAAAACACCCAAACACTCTCACATTCACGTTTAGTTCATCCAATTCACCTATATCGCATGTGTTTGAACTGTGGGGGACAACGGAACAACCTAAGGCGACTCGAACCAGCGACCTTCTTGCTGTGAGGCGACAGTGCTAACCACTGAGCCACTGTGCTGCCCTGCAAGTACGTCTGTGTTTTAGCCTTTTTTTAAAGCACAAAATAGCTTGGTGGGAATCTTTATTGGACACAGACGTGAATGAAATTGTTTGTACCCTTCTGCACAACTTGCAAGCGCTCCATAGAGGATTTGTTCAGACAAGTGAACAGAACAGTACAATAGTCCCACCATGAAGAGACAAAGGCACAGACAAGCTCCATCTCTTAGTGAAACAGTATTTCTGATTTTTGTTATGTTTCTCAGATGGAAAAAGCATGTACGAACAACAGACTTAACATGGCTATTAAGTCGGTGCCAACAGTCTAGTGGTTAGTGTATCGACATGTAGCACCAAGGTGCTCACGGTGACCTGAGTTCAATCCCTGGCTCTATGTCCACTGCTTCCCACATTTCCTGTCTGTAAAGTCTGCACTGTCCTATACCAATAAAGGTAAAAAAAAAATATATTAATAATTAAAAAAAAAAAAAAAAAAAAAAAATATATATATATATATATATATAATTTATATATTATATATATA